TGAAACAATAATAAAATTAATAATAATAAAAAAAAATAATAATTCCTATAAGTGTAAAACTCACATGATTTTTCAATAAATTCTTCAACCATAATTAAACATGATTTCTGATTAGCAAAGTATCATTTCGATATTTCGATAAAATATTCGCTGCCTGAAAATAATATATTAACACATTATATGCAGCCATTCAGCCTCTTGGCTTTTTGCGACGGATTATTGTTGTTTCAATCCAACCATGTCTTTCGATCATTTCATTTTTATCGTATCGAATTCACGAATGACAGCATTAGAAAATCTATCCCAATGGATAGATAAATCACGATAAGCCCTAGTTTGCCTGTTGCATTACATTTAATACATAGACAAATACCGATTACACGTTGGCATTGATAGATCGAGAGATAAAGTGTCAATCAATGAATGAAACGAGAACCTTAAGCTTGGAAAGAATATTTGTGATATATATTGGATTTAAGATCTTGAAGAATCTAACAAGAGTGATGATAAACGTTTAATTGATTTAAATGGTATTAAAATTTATCGCTTTAAATAGCTTACAGCAAGGCAAAAAATTGAAAAATTATATTTTCTTTTTGTATGCAGGAAAAAATGATTTGAAACACGATATGAATATTATTGATATTATTAGCATAGAGTTAAAGAAAGAATTGAGAATTTTTTTATTTCAATAATTTTTATAATTGAGAATGAAAGAAACTTCTGAGAAGTTTTACAAACGTTTCGTTGAAGAAAATAGATTAACCAAGTAATTGGAAAATTAAACTTGAATAATCTAATATCAATTAGGTAAACTCATTATTCATGTTTGAATAATTTCTGATTTAGATCTAAGAAATCCTGAAAATTCTGCTTGTTAACAGTTCAAAGGAATAAATAGAGACAAGTTTGAGAAACAAATCAGCTTGAAACTTTACTATAACTCTATTACTTTGATCAATATCTATTAGTCACCTTAATCATTCTTCGATCATTTCTAATTTCCATATATAAGTAGTTACATTTAAAGATAGGATTATCTCGCGTATAAATTTATACATCATAAAAAAAAAGTCAAAATTAATAAATATATAGTTTCCTTAATTAAAAATATCCTATCTTTACATTTTCTTTGTCCTGTCAATTAATGTTTACGTTTGTAGATTCGAAGTTAATAAATAAATTAAAAAAGAAAACGCAGTGGAAACTTGCAGTCTGTGCCGTGGTATACTATTTAAACAAATGGTCTGGCAATCACAGAGCTCACGTTAATCGATAACCCCACGGACGTGCCACTAGCTCGACCCGGTCATCAATTAGTATTCCAACGATTCGCAAGAGAACGGGACCCGCGGCTGTTGGAAAAGCTAGATATTATACACTCGCGATCTCGTGGCCAAGCTATTTCTGATCCAATCGAATTAATAGTTGAAGATACGGATAAGATACATTAAACGTCGAACAACGTATCTTTCTACGATGAAAACGTACCTTATAGCTGTACATAATCCACTATTAGAACAATAATTCTCTCGATACACCTATGAAACTCGACCATACGTTTATTTCAACTCCCTATCCTCCTTTCTTTTCTATTTTCCACGTTCAACCAACACACCGAAGACAAGCAAACTTTTACGACACAGAATCTATATATATATATATTGGTTTCAAGTTAGATTAGATTAATTGAAGTATAGATACGGATATTGCACGTTATTACCATTGAAATCCATCTTACGCTCGTATTCGATCCTAATTTTCTTAATATTTATCCGTAACTGGCCCGAGAGTGACATCGAGGGTTAATACTTGTCGAAGGATCCGCCATTACATCACGTGACGGAAAAATAATGGCGACGATGCGCAAAAATGCTGCGCAAACGAACGTATTGAGCAATAGATCGCCTCGATCCGAATCGCGCGCCCTCTCGCGTGATTCGTGGGTGTATATACACGGTTTGCCGACAAGCAACAGGTATTAACATTATATACGTCTGTATGTACGTTATATAGGTGCTCGTGAAACCAGTATTTACTAGCGGCTTGGCCGAGAGACGTGGCTGAATACTCTGGCTGTATGCAGGTCGAACTGCTGGTAAATCTAGCACGGTATCGCGTGAAGCAACTGGCAAGTACATGAGCACCTAGATACACGTATAAATATCGGTACTATCGGATAGGAGGCAGCAAGCGCGCAGCTGCACCGGTAGTTTGCAACAGATATTCCGGAGGAGCTACTGAATAAGCTTGCGGTAGGCCACCTCGAAGACGAACAAGCGTACGCCTACCGGTTGGGAAGGCATTTTGATGCGTGCTGATCCAACGCGAGAACGTTCTTACACAATCGCGACCGATTCCCGCGATAGATTGTTAGGTTAGGTTCCATGGGATGATGTGCTATGGGTGATACACGTACGAGATACGACGGCTTTTAATAGGTCGTTGCGTCGTTCGCTTTTGATGGCAAAACTAATAAAATTAAGGATTATTCGAGGGAACTCGAGGCTCTATCACGGTATTTTCGATATATTGGATTTCTGAAACAAAAATTTCGACGCGGTTTTATTATTTTTATTAATAATTGCATTTTGCGAAAGATCATGAGAGAATCTTAACGATAATTCAAAAATGATTATTTCAATGATCGTAGAATTTTGATGGATTCGTGCGATTAGGTCGTAGGGAGGCTGTACTGTGAATGAAGGAATTGATGGAATAATAATATATTTAAAAAAAAAAGAATTATGATTTCAACAATGCGCTATTACGCAATTGCGACCGATTTTCGCGAGAGAAATTGTTAGGTTTAGATTTTTACAGAGGTTATACCATGGACATTTACGATGGAGTGTTCATGATATACGTACAAGATATGGAATCTTTAATAAGATGTTGCCGCAATAGTGATAAAACTAAAAAATTATTGTTTTGAACGGTGTTGCAGTTGTTACACAATTCCGACCAATTCCCGCGATAAGTTGTTAGGTTAACCTATGGGAGAGTTTTCATGATGTTGCGCGAGATATAACATAGTTTTTTTTTAATAGGTTATCGTAATAAACGTCAGTTTAAAATAAATAATATTAATTGAAGGTTTGAGAATCAGAACAAGTTAATTTTCCTAAAACATTCTCACGACTCTCCAGAGAGTTTCGTAATATGCCAAAATCTTTTTTTCTTTTTTTTGAAAATTCGTATCGTCGCCCTTTTAAAATTTATAATCATCCTATTTATTTTCAAGAGGAACAACAAATTGCAAATTTAAACGAAAATTTAAAAGAATTGGAAGATAAAGTTACATACCCGAGTGGCAGGAAAACAAGTCAGCTCCGATACAGCTCGTCTGAAACAAAAAAAAAGATTCTATGTTATTACAAAAAATATTACAAAAAAATCGCGTAACAAGCGTTCCCCTACATCTTCAACAACATTTATCAAAATTATTTACCCTATCGTTTATTCGTCACGAGATCAGTGCATCGATTCGTTGCAAAAAAAGAATTTTTACGTTGAACTTTCGCGATAATTTCGTACGAATTTCGCATACACTACTCCATTCCTTCGATCCCGTTTCGAAAAATCGTTACGTTAATCGAGTTAAGCCGAAAGTGAGTCGGACGTGAGCGATACATAATAATTCGTTTGGCTCAAACAAATCTCTTCCTCGTTTCGCAATCGAAACACGTATATACAACACAACAATTGCCTTTTTTTTTTTTTTTTACACGATGATTCAATTAGCGCAAGCTGTCGATATGCTTCCGCGATCCCGATTTACCGCAAATTCGCGTCTCAAGGTGGAGAATGATCGACCGAAAAAAAAAAAAGAAAAGAAAAGAAAGAAAAAGGATAAAAAAACGATAATGTAGGAACTGAAAGTACGATTTATAATGATCTAATCGTGGCTCGATCCTCGATACCACATATTTTCTCGTATTTATTAGAGGAAATGTATTCACTAGGACGGAACGAAACGTGGCGGATAAAATTCTTTCTTTTTGTTAATCGTATTATCCTCTCTATCTCTATTAAAATTTATCAAGATATTTTCTTTCTACATTATATGCGTGGAAATGATTTTTCTTTTTTGTTGATGTTACTTTCTAATTCTTTTTTTTTTTTAATTTTCATCAATTTTGGTTAAGAATGTTGGAATTAAAACCATAGCAGATGTTGAAAAATTATTACAACAAGAATATAATAATTTTTTTATACCCTGTAAATAAATTGTTAATAATTTTTTTTTGAAGAAAATTATTTCCACCATCGACATTTATTTTTAAAAATATTTGAAATATTCAATATTTTCTTAAAAATTAAAATAAATTAACTGAATATCAATATTATAGATATTAATTTAATAAATAATATCCTTAAAAATATCAAAAATAAAAGAAAAATAAATTAAATTATTTTAATCACAACCTCATAGAATCTTTCTTATTAAAAATCGACCAACGTTTAATTAATTAATCAATTACTTTCCAGCTAAAAAGAGAGAGAAAAAAACTAACAAAAGAACAAAAAAAAAAAAAAGAAAAAAAA